GGGGGGGGGGATCAGACTCTTGTGACTTTAGAACTTACTATTCCCTTTATTTCAAATGACTTTTTATAAATGTATTGAGGTAGCGTTGGTTAACAACATTATGTTTCAGGTGCACAGTTTTATAACACATCATTTATATATGTTGCATTGTGTACTCGCCACCCAAAGTCTAGCCTCCTTCTATCATCATATATTTGACCCCCTGAGCCCTTTTCACCCTCCCCCACAGCCCTCTTCCCCTCTGTTAACCACCATGCTGTTGTCCCTAGGTGTCACTTTAAGCCTTTCATTCTCAGGCCTCTGAAGCCTTTATCTGCTTTGACCTGGCCCATCTCTTAGGCTTCCCTCCCAGATGTAGGAGAAAACTGCCCTGAACAGTGCGGGCCTGGAATGAATTTGCCCCAGGCGAAAGGTAGAAAGGTAGTCACAAAATCATTGGAGAAAGAAGTCCCTCGGCAACTCACCCAACAGGCTCAGTAGCTCAAACTTCCGCAGGGTCAACTTCCCTTCAGGTATATGCATATTGGCCTAAAGGGGTTTGCCCTTGAGTTCAACTCTCTTTTGGCTGGGCTGGACTCCTCCGAAAGAGGACACAGATTGTTTCTGCGCTTCCTTTTGGAGCACAATAAAGGCCTCCAAAGGAATTGATGGTATATCTCTTCAGAAGAAAGCCCAGATCTTTCTCATGGTGGCGTGTTTCTATTTAAGAAGCGAAGGGTCCCCACACCTGGAAATGAAAGATCAGTTACGAAGAGGAGGTGTAGAAGGATTAAGTGTGTTTTCTTTACAATGTTGACTGATAGATTTCAAGAATTCTGTTTTCTCCAAGAAACACAGAGACTGAAATTCTAGTACGTATTTGTCTTGGTGGGTATACGTCTGTGCAGAGGACGTGTGATATTTTATGGAAGGTGTGAAAGTGTGTACAGGACTAAAGTGTGAATTTCTAATATGTATGTGTACCTGATGTATGTTCAGTATCTATGTTTGTGCGTGTTTCTGAGCGTGAGTGCCTTTCTCACAAGAAGGTGCGTCTATAAAATGTTTGGATATTGGAAAGGCTGACTACACATAAGCAAAGCAGGTGTTTTAATGAGTTCTCAAATATTTTATTAAGTGACTTGATTTTTTTTCAGATTAAAGAAAGGACAGAAAAAGAAATGGGTTTTTTTCTTAAGTTTTTACCAGCAGAAAATGCAGACGATCAGCTATGGGATATATATACTGTGTTTCCCCATATGTAAGACGCTCCCATGTATAAGACACACCTTAATTTGGGAGCCCGAAATTTGGGGGGAAAAAAATGTATTACATAAAGTTATTGAACTCAAGTTTTATTCATCATAAAATTCATACAACTCCTCATCGCTGTCAAATGCAAGTAAAAAAAAATCTACAACCACTGTATAAGTCGCATCCAGTTTTTAGACCCCAAATTTTTCGAAAAAGTGTGCATCTTAGACATGGGGAAATACGGTCATTTAAATTTTTTTCTTATGTGGGAAAAATGATTACAAATGGATCAGAAATGAAACCTTCCTCTGAGGAACTTTCCTCTTTCCTGTCTTTCTTGCTGATGATGTGTGCCTGCCCTAATTATGAAAAGCTTAAACTTGGGGGCCGGGGGAACTGAGAGGAAGAGCTTCCTCTTTCCATAGAGAAGTTCAGTAGAAAATTTCCTGTCCTGCTAGCCTGGTAAAACAGCTGGTGACCTAAGTCCTTACACCTCCACCTTCTTAGAGGGCTACTCTGGGTCCTATTTCACATGCATGAGCCAGGACCCAAGGGCTACAATTTGACTTGCTAAAAGATGTTGGGTGCCCAGCATGGGTGAGTAGTGTTGGGCACCTGGACAGCCTTTGGGGATTGGCTGCAGAGGCACTGGTGGCACCAGGCCTCATGGCTGGCCTCATCTTCATCTAGGTGGGAGGGCTGGGCACATTGTCCTCCTGGAATAGGGAGGGTGCAGGGTCATTAGTTAGAGGATGATGTGGTCTCTGCTAGCCAGAGGAAATGGCCTGCTTTTGTTTTCCACCCAGTAGGAAATGGAACCTGAATCCATTAGATTCTGGGCAGTTCAACACAGCACAGTTTGAGCTCTGGGAGGCGTGTTGCCTAAAAGGCTACTTGTGTGGATTTGTGTGTCCCAACCGCTATTGTGCAGCGTGCCCATCTTTTATGCATTTAAAGCCTGTCAGGCCGGTAATCTAAAGCAGAGGTCTGGAAGACAGTGATGCCAACAGGCACGGGGAATACTCAAGTGCACCTGTAGAGATAAAAAATGCATGACCCTTTCCCTCAAAGGGCGAACGCAGGAGAGAGACCCTGTCCTGTAGGGTGACTGCTGAGCCGTAATACATAATTCACGGGCCCCACGCTGATCCGTACAGATGGCGATATTAAATCACGATTGATGCTGAGAGAGGCACACGTCTCAGGAAGGTCTCCAGGAGACTTCTGAATAGTTCCAGGTCTCTTGTGCCTTCCTCGTGCCCTCTCGTCTACTGGGGTATGAAGCAAAACCCCGTTTCCCAGGGACCCCTTCTGGGGATTAAAGAACTTCACTCCCAAATATGAGATTCTTCAAATGTCATCACCCACCTTTTCTGCCTTTGAAGATTGCCCTCTTTTCTCCTGGCACACCAGAAGCTGTTTACCTCCAGCCAGGCACTGCCGGGAAGAGGGGGGCCAGCTGCTCCCCTGCAGCCGCCTTTCCAAAGACTAGTTACCACTAGACAAAGCAGCAGCACACTCTGGTGGTGGTGACCAGGCAGGAGGGACAGTGGGCAGAAAGCACGGAAAAAACACAGCCGTCCACTCAGCACAAAGCACTTTTTGTCAAAACTCTGAGGTCAGAGCCAGTGGGTTCTCCGATGCAGATTTTTCCACTCAGTGTGTAATGAAATAATAAATCAAATTTGTGGTGTATGTGGAATTAAGTGTTTGGGGGTTTTTCTTTTTCTTTCTTAAAAAAAAAAAAAAAAAAAAAAAAAGTATTTACGTTTTGTTGTCTGAGTTGCCCTGCAGAGGGGCCATCGCAGCAGAGCTTCGATATAATTGTTACCAGGCTTGCTTGTGGGTCGGCACCACAAAACCGCTATTGTCAATTCCCGGAGCCGTTACTTCTGGCTGCCTGGGCTGGGCTG